TTACTCTCCAGCCTTTTTCCCATTCCTCCTGAAGACAGGCTTAGCACCTTTTTAGAAGGACATGGACTTGTTCAAAAGTAATCAAACTAAACAGCTGAACGATGGGGAGTAGCTGCTCAAAATTCACTCACCCATTGCCCTGAAATTCCCCCCTCCACATTTCTTAATTGTCAGGCTACTTTAAAACATGGGTTTAGCAATCTTTTGAAAAAGTGATTAAAGCCATGTTTAAAAATGGCCAAACAATGACAGGCCCCTGGGAAGGACTGTGCCGCGAAGCAGCAGCATCTAGCCTCTTTCTCATTAACCCTTAAATCATTCTTCACTTTCACCATTGGTCTGCTGCCCTTTAAGCCAATCAGGTCCCCAAATTGGTGGATTGGATCAGAGACATGATGGACAAAAGGGAGAGTCTGGTTTGATTGTTAAAGGTGGTTTTGCAGCCCAGTGAAAGAAGAGCGCTTAGTTTTTAGGCTGAAGAATCCCGATGAATATAGAAATAAAAATCAAGTGGTCATCCAAATGTTTGCAGCCCAGACTTACTAGCCCTAGAATAAAAAAAGCTGGCCGCTCATCTAAGCATCTTCCATTCAATACCTTTCCCATTTTCATTCTCCTATATCAGTATCAATTACAGAAGAACATTTGCTCCAAATAAAGTGGATAAACACTCAGTAAATAATGCCAAACTCTCCCTTTAAAATTTCAGCCTCTTCCATTTCCAGCAGCTTCTATGCTGGTTTCCAGATATATTAAATATGGGCATAGTGGATAAAAGGATTATAACAAAACTTCATTGTTAATTTTGCATTTCACAAAACCTATCTTTATTTATCCTTTAGTATGTCTTTTATTTTGAGAGATCTTCTTAATATGGTTTTGTCACCATGATATCAACAATTTTTATCTTTCCAGTCTAGAATTTTATTTACCTCTCCAGCAGGACCGGGGACAGCTCCAATTTTTGCTTGTAGTTTTTTGATATCTAGTAATGGACCAGTAATAAGAGAGGTTCCTGAATCTACAATAGCTTCACAGCCATTTCTACATGCTACAATCTGTCCCTGGATTTTCACACTGCATTATTGGATGTGGAAAGCATAAAGGGATGGGGGAGGAGAGTAAACATCATTAATCAAGAAGCAGACTGAAAGTAATCGGAATACATAAATACAAAAACAAACAAAATTAAATAGGTGTTTGAAAAAGTCAACTTCAGTTCTTTTCTCTCTCCCTGCATTACATACACACGCACACACACAAAATCTGTACATTAATATCATTTGGATTTTTGCATTCAGTATTGTCAAGAGAAAGTAAGGCTGCAATCTCATACTTGCCTATTTCAAAATCCTCTGGTAAGATTTATGCTTCAATAAATATGTATCGAATTATCCTCTAACCCATGCAAATATCTGCCCACCTAGCAGTTCAAAAGTATGCAAATCAGTGGTGGGATTCAAAAAAATGTTTCTGTGGGCGTGGCTTGGTGGGCGTGGCAGGGGAAGGATACTGTAAAATCTCCAGTCAGAGGTGGTATTTGCCAGTTCTCCAAACTATTCAAAATTTCCGCTACCGGTTCTCCAGAACTGACCGGAACCTACTCAATACCACCTCTGATGAAAATGTGGGTAGATTAAAAGATACACTTTGTTGGGAAGGTAACACCATTCCATGCATCTTTGATGTATCGCCATGCTGGCCACATGTCCATAGAAACTGTCATCGGACAACACTGGCTCCCTCGGCCATGAAACGGAGATGAGCACTGTGTCCCAGAGTCAGACACGACTGACAGGGAAACTTTTACCTTTCACCATGAAATATCTAACTTATTTTATTATAAGAGGAGCACAAGAAAAATATGCTTCTGATTTTTTTAAAAACAGAAAATCACAAATATGCAGTGATATTCAAAGAAAACATCTAGGCCATACTTTCTATGTTTCCCTTCTTTTGAAAAAATTTCTATAGGTAAACATATTAAAAGAAAATTATACTATATGTATAATTATATTATGTATTAACTAATTATATGTAGTTAAATTAAATATGCTCCGCATACACAGCCCCTCAGACTCTGAGGTCCAGTGTGATTGATAAAGATTCAGCCACAGAGGAAGCAACTCCATAGATTGGAGAAACTTGGCAGGAAACAAGACAACAGAAGAGCCGATGCTGAGAACTCAGCTATTACAGCTCTGTGTTTTATTCATTTATTTATTTAGAAAATTTATATGGTTGCCTGGTCACTGTCAATGGATGGCTTACAAAAAATAAGCCCCTGTATTGTCCTTCTTTCCCGATAGTAGACGCTGAAAACAGTTTTTCAGGCCTCAAATCTGCCTCTGACTATGCCATGTTTGGTACTCACTGTCTCTTGTCTTGTTTGTTCGATTTGTCACTGTTTAGTGAATTCCTGGTCTTGATCTATACTAAGCCTGTGTCTGTATTTATAGTTGCCATCATAATATACTAATTACCAATATATTGATAAAAAGGACTCTTATCTTTAAAAAAATAAATCTTCCTGAGCTCATATATTACTGGACTGTAGTAGGCAATCCTGCTTGTTATCTTGTTGGCTGGCAGCCAACAATGCAGGCCCAGAAAATTGCTTCTCATATTCAAACATAAGCATTTATGGATTGGCTGTGATTCATCTGCTTCATCAAGAGTCAGAAGTTGTTTTTGTATGCCTACCTCAAGGTTTCTGTTTTAGCAAACTTACTTTTCAAGAGGAATCTGCCAGTACATTTTCTGACTGACAGGAATCCAATACATGGGTCCATAGTAGAGTGAATGGTCTATGCCTCCAAATATCAATTCACCGCCATCCTCGTTGCCATCTCTGAAAAGATGAAATGCATTATGCTGATGAGCAAGACGTGGTTGTTAAACCCATTGAGAACACAACTGGGACTCAGAGGAGATATTTGAAATAAATTAGGGATGGAAAAGAAATCTGTTATGGATTTATTTTCAAAAAGTGGAATAACCTGCCAAAATGGAAACTATTGTAGCATGAATTATCAGTTATTAAAATCTACCTCAAAGTATTTCTCAGATCATAACTGCATATAAAATGGTGCATATTTGGGGAAGTTTCATGCAGTGCATATATATTTGGAAATATCAATAATACAGATTATTATAATACAAATAAGGGGATGTGGTGGCTCAGTGGCTAAGACGCTGAACTTATCGATCAGAAAGGTCAGCAATTCAGCAGTTCGAATCTCTAGCACCACGTAACTGAGTGAGCTCTTGTTACTTGTCCCAGCTTCTGCCAACCTAGCAGTTCGAAAGCATGTAAAAATGCAAGTAGAAAAATAGGAGACCACTTTGGTGGGAAGGTAACAACGTTCTGTGCATTTTGCCAGCCTCAGAGATGTCTTCAGACAGCACTGGCTCTTTGGCTTTGTAAGGGAGATGTGCACTGCCCCCTAGAGCCAGAAATGACTAGCACATGCCTGAGGGGAAGCTTTACCTTTATAATACAGATAATTGGAGAGCTGTATACAGATATAAGTAGGGAAATATGCTTATAGGACATGTAATAATTTATTCTTAGAAAAAGTTGTTCATAGAAAAATGGATATTTTTAAAAAAAAATACAGAGCTTTAATCAAACAGACAGGCAGAAAGTTGCCATGTAATCATGTTTTGATTTGGTGGTTTATTTTGAGAGAAAACCTCTTTTCCAACTGTATTTATCTCAGAGCTGTGAATAGTGTTTCCCAGAATATATAATGCAGAATTAGATAAATCAATCATCTTCCTGTACATGTATTATTCTTTTTGCACAGAGCTGGACCATTCCCCAAAAGAGTCAATGCATGAGAATTAAATAACTCTTGAATAGATGTTGATCAATTGATGCATCTATTTCTCCACCATTTGTATATATTAATGTTCTCTCTTCTTTTCACATGCAAATACTGACCTGTTCAGAAAGAAGGAAAACACAGGCTCTTCAACCAAATTCTGCCTCATCATATTGTCAAAGACTGGAACAGCATCCATCACTGACAAGTTAGGGTATGCCAAGCCCAACACCCCATCAAAATGTGCAGAGACAAAAGTGTTGCCTGGCTCCAAGAGAGATTCACCAAAGTCTTGGGCCTCAATAGAAATGTTGCTAATCTGTTCATTGATTGTAAAAGAAAAACAGTATGAAAAAGATACTATAGCTGCATATAGTAGGAACCATTTCAAGGGAAATATTGTTTTATTTAGACTTTATTCTACCCTTTTCATCTACAATTCATGGCAACAAGCATACCATCACTCCTTTTTTCTCATATTTTCCCCACAACAACCCTGTGAGCTCATTGGGCTGAGAAAGAGTGACTGGTCCAAGGACACCAAGCCAGTTTTTCATGCCTAAGATGGGACTAAAAATAATTGTTTCCTGGTTTCCAGGCCAACACCTTAACCACTATACCAAACTGGCTCTCAGTGGTTTCCCTAGGATATTATTATTCCTAGCTTCCCTGACCAGAAAATGCCTATTTTAGTATAATTCTTTTTAAAAGAGAATTGGTCTCTTTTATCTCCAGCAATTTATTTTGTAATTCTAGTACTATGCACATTCTCAGAAAATATTAAACCCTTAAAGATAACAGCAATTCTCTCACCTGGACCACGTCTTTGGAACAAATGCCCATGAGGTGCCCAGTACCGTACCGCAGAGAAAAGTGTCGCCCTCCATGCTGATAGGAATGTGACAGAAATGGCTCAAATTGGTTGTGATTTACTGTAAAAATAAAAATTGCTCTTAATCCGTTTACTTTTTCTGGAATGTAGGATTAACTTTTAAAAAAAATTTTTTTTCAGAAAAAGAGAAACATGGGATCAAATTATCTAGCAAAAAGCAGAGCAACTCTTTAATTAAGCTGAATAAGGCAGCGGGTCAATGACAATTCATCATGGTCAACTCACCATGGCCAACTCACTACAGCCCAGGGGTCTCCAACCTTGGCAACTTTAAGCCTGGCAGACTTCAACTGCCAGAATTCACCAGCCAGGCTGGTGAATTCTGGGAGTTGAAGTCTTGCCAGGCTTAAAATTGCCAAGGTTGGAGACCCCTGCTACAGCCAACTCACCACAGCCAACTTGCCATGGCCAACTTACCTTGGGACAATTGCTGTGGTACAAGATTTACATTAATATCAAAGAAATGGTGGAATAGAAAAATTAAAGAAAGGATGCAAAAGGAGGGACAAAATAAAATGTGAATGACAAAAATTTATTTATTTTAAACAATTAAATTGAATTGATAAATTGTTCCGCAGCAAGTTGGCCATGAAGAGTTGCTGTGATTAGTTGGCTGCGGCAAGTTAGCCCATTCCAGAGGCAGCTGCTTTATGTGACAGAGGCTAAGGACAAATTGAACTTCATGGAGGACTCATGAAGTCTATTCAGTTTCTGTATATGTTACGGAAGAATATTGCTGCCTTCTTTGTTCTGAGATACATATTGTGGTGTGGCCTTGGCAAAGCTGATATTTGGATCTGAATGTTACTAAAATTCTCCTACCAAGGGAAAGATTTAAAAGTGTTTCCAACTCACTTCAAATCTAGTATCTTTACTGAAAGCACCAATGAGACTAGACTTCCTGTCTCAGGAACATCTCTGAAGTTTTTTTCCCCTCCTTTGCTGGTACTTTGCTTGTGTAGAGTGACCATTTAAAGTTACAATGGCACTGAAAAAAGTGACTTATGACCATTTTTCACACTTACAACTGTTGCAGCATCCCCACAGTCATGAGAGGCCAGGCGAGGAGATGCGTGCCTCGATGTGAGTGATATTGAGTTAGCCACACCCAGCCAATAACATGACCACCAAGCCATTCCCACCCAGTCACATGACCACCAAGCCACGCCCACCACCTAAGCCACGCCAACAGAACCAGTCGTTAAAAATTTTGAATCCCACCCCTGCAAAGGGGGTTCCATATCCATGAGAGAACTTTGCATTAGATGAAGTCATGAATTAACAATTCTTTCCCCTAGTTTCCTGTATGACAAAATTAGGACTTTTCTTTGTTGATTTTAACAACATAACTTCTTGAATGATGTAAATATTTCTTACAACAAGCCTCATTCATGCAATATTTTGATGGTATCCAAAAATCAGCAGATCCAGTGTCTAATATCACAGAGAATGTCTGCGGGGGAGTCCCAATGCTCACTTTTCCATAGTATTGGGCCTAGGGGAAAAAAGGCATTCATTATTCAGTAATTAGTCACCTACCAAATTCCAACTTGCTCTAAACCCTTTTCAGTTCTAAGGCTTCGGCCCAGACATCTTGTAAGAAAGGACAGTATAAGGGCTCATAGATAGCCTTCTCATCTCTAAAAAGCAATAGCACTTAGATTTACGTATCGCTTCACAGTGCTTTACAGCCCTCTCCACTGAGTCAGCATATTGCCCCCAACAACGAGGATCCTCATTTTGCTGACCTCAGAAGGATGGAAGGCTGAGTCAACCTTTTTTTTCCCCAAAAGAGTTTTTTATTTCACTCTACATATAACAACAACACATTAACAGTGTGGCATCAATATATCATACATCTCTCATTACCTATATTCATATTAATTCATAATTCTTCAATGTTTATTTTCAACCATAGTCTCTCCAAATGCCTACCACCATATCAATTAAACATACCTAGTGATTCCATTATTCAATTTCCTCCCTGTTTTCATTTTATTTTTTAAATAAAAAAAAATCTCATTTGGCAAGCAGTGTGGTTTCAGGTTTCACCTCTCAATACAAACATGAACATAGTTACCTATTCATATTATTTCATATTGCATATTTCATATTGCATCATCCTTATCATTTATTAAATATTAATCTTATCCAATCCCAATTCATGTTCTAATATCTTGTTTCACAATGTTATTTTTATTCAATTCCAAATCCTGTTATATCTCCTTCCATTTTTCTTAGTATATTCTCATATCTTATTTTACAATGTTATCTAAGATTCTCATCTTCTTTCTATTGTCATTTCTCATATTATTATTTTTTTCCCATCAAATTTGTCATTTTATCAGTCCTCATCTGTAAATATAATTGTCCCTCTAGTTAATAATTCGAGCTAACCACCTTCATTCTCCTTAATATCAATCTCCCTATCTAATATAAAACACAAATATATATATATATATTTTCTCAGATTCCACATTATATTTTCTCTATAAATCATCTATACATTACAAAATATTATTTTCAATATGTTCTTATACATCACAACATATTATCTTGCAGAATCCCCTTCCCTTATCCCTTTTTTTTCACCCATTATCTCTCACTCTTTGGGCAATGTACCTTCTTTTCATCCTTGTTTGTTTCCTGTTCCTCTTTATTTTCTGGTCCTTTCTCTTAATTCCCTTTTTTCCCATCCTTTTCTCATTCCAATTATTAAACTTTTCTCTCTCCCTCCTTTGATTTTTCTTTTGCACTTCCTTTTTCTGCTTTTTCCCTCTCTCTTTAACCATTTTCCGAACCATTCTCCCTTTTATCATCCCATCAGACCACAAATTTTTAATTCTAATTCCCTTCCCCCCCCCCGCTTAAATAATTGCTGTTCGTTTTGTTCTTCTAAGTTTGCTTCTTCTTTATAGCACTCCTCCCCCTCTGGTTTATTGTTTTCTTGTGTATTCTGAGTCACCATTTCCAATTTCTGTAGTATATAATTACACATTTCAAGTTTAATTTTTATCATGTCCCTTGTATCTTGCATGTCCGATCTTATGTCTTGTAAGTCCAGTCTTATATCAACAAATAGCTCCTCCATTGTATCTTCTCTCTTCCTTAATAGCCGAAATCCTCTTCTTTAATAGATATATTTAGTCCCAGAGTCCAGTATATTATTTCAGCCAATATCTTTTGAGTTTATTTTCAACAATTCATTCTCTTGAGTCTTTATTTCGGGTCTTCTAATTGGTCCTTTCCCAACTGTTTCCCAAATTACTGGGTGGTTCTATGACAATATTCAAGTTCCTTTTATTTTCTTTTAAGTTCCAAAGTCCAAACGCTCAAAAAGACCAGACACTCTTTTTAAAACACACTAAAGCTTTCCTGTACCATCAGGTGGTGCTCTTGAGTCTTATATAATATAATATTTTTATTAAGTTCACGAATTTCAATCATTAGCTATTATTTCTTTTCTTTTCAACACACTCAATTCCAGGATTTAGTTATGCCCTTTAAGTGCCCACAGTTCAATATATATCCAATTTGATTTCTAAACCTTTGTTGTGTTAAAGTATTTTCCTTTAAAATTCTCCTCCAAATTAATCCAATACAATAATCCAATCCAAATTGATAAAATCCAATTTCTTTCTCACTTTCTCTGGTTGCCGCTTCCACACACTTTCCTCCAGAATAACCCTTTAATTTGATACCGGGGTACCTCAAAAGCAATGTCCTTTGCCTGGTTCACACTCTGCTCACTACTTCTCCGCTCCAGCAAAAAACTTGTTTCCCAGAGTATTCTTCATCTTTGTGGTGGCCATTTTGGGACCACCACTGCAACTTGCCTTTGGGAGGGATTTTCCTGTCAGGGAGGGGAATTGCAGCTCCCCTCGACCCTCCAGGCAATTTTTCCCTTCTTCACCACCTCACCAAAGTGGCTCTGGTTCCAATCGGGACCCTCCAGCAAGTGAGCTCGGGTGAAACCACACACGATCGCGGATTGCTCACTGACTCTGATGAGGAACAAACCAAAAGTCCAGGCTGAGTCAACCTTGAGCCTGGTGAGACTTGATCTGCCAAATTGCAGGCAGCCAGCAGGCAGCAGAAGTAGCCTGCAGTACTGCGTTCTAACCACTGCACCACCCCATAAAACATGAACATGACTTGTTCTTGACCAAGTCTTAGGCAGATCCTGTTAATCATCTGGAGAATTTGGGCGGGGGGAGTTGAAACTCTGATACCTATAATCCCAGCTTCAACTTTAGAATTATTATTTTGTAAACACAAATGACAAGTTTTGGGTTTAAAAAAGTCATTGGTTCCATTGTGTTCTCTGCTCTCTAATTGGCTTCTGTCTGTGATTAGTGGACCCTGTAAGTCTGATAAAAGCACTTAATAAAACTCATAAGCCTGAAGTCAAACATACTATTAGCACAGACAATGTTACAGTAACCTCAGATAAATGTTTAACTCTATTTGCTTCCCAGCCCTTAAGTGGGCTGGGGGGGAAACATCCAGGAAGCATAGGAGGAATTAACAAAAACTCTTCCATTAATGGGAATCTTTTGACATCAAATATCTTTTTAGGAAATCAGTGCACATTTGGATTTGTATAATTATATTTTTATCATTTATTTGTTCACCGGTTTTTCATTTGTATTATAAATGTAAACCATAAAATAATTTGAACCCAAAATTTCTGCTCACAAAATGGGCTTTGCCCATTTTTATTTCCCCATAGTTTATTTTGGTTCGTGAAAGCTTTTCCTATAGGTTTGAGGAAGATGCTTGAGACAACCCCAAAAGGTTGTATGGGAAGCAAGGGTGCTGTAGAAAAGAGAAATAGTAAAAGAAAGATCAGTGTATGGCAGCTCACACAAGGCTCAGGAAAGGCATTTCAAGCAATGCAGGAGTACCATTATACTCATACTGCATACTGAAATACCGTGGGCAGTGTGGGAAATACCTTGTGGGGTCTGAATCCAAATCAACAAAATCAGCTCCACTATTGGTTTTACTTAAGTCAGTGTAATACAACTTGATCATGTGCTTTGTGAGGTGCATGTCTGTTTCTATACAAATAGCGTATTAAGTATTTTTAAAAAAATTCTAGCTATATTTTGTCATTATGTCCATATGGCACTCAATAAAGCATAAAGATATTTAAGATATTTAAAAAGTTATTGTAACTAATTAAAATTGAACATGCCCGACTCATAGGAAGGTCTAACTGCTATTCTAAAACTGGAAAAAGTGGAGACTGGGCTAAATTCCTAGGTGCAGCATGGATGTTGGGTAGGGAAGGGTCTTTCCCACATGTATAACAGGATCTCAGAGAGTAAGAGTGTCAGAAGAGAACCTGTTATCCTGTTAATTGGTTAGGCATTAAACAGAATCTGATATAACAGATTAGGTCACAGGTAATCAGGTGTCAAACTTGATTTCATCGAGGGCCACATCAGGATTGTGTTTGACCTTGGAGGGCTGGGTAGGTGTGGCTGGGGTGGGCATGGCCAGCTCAACATCACTCATGGGGGGCACCTGTGGTAGCCTGGGTGGGGCTGGGGGATCCATTGTCTCCAGCAAAGGAAGGCGAGACCAGGGAGAACACCAAACCCGTGTTCTCCAGAGGAGCCTTGCTGTCTGCTGGTGGCCAAGGGCTAAGGCAGGACTTCCCTTCCTTCCTTCCTTCCTTCCTTCCTTCCTTACTTACTTACTTACTTACTTACTTACTTAATTCCTTTTCTTCTTTTTCCTTCCCTCTTCATTCTCCTTTCCTCTTCCTTCCACTCGTTCATTCTTTTTCCTTCCTTGCTCTCTTCCCATCTTTTTTTCTTTTTCTTTCCCTTTCTCCTTTCCTGTACCTTCTTGGATGCTCAAATGCAAAAGGGGAACATTTCTCATTTTGTTTTATTTTGCTTTTAGTTTGTTTTCCTAGCCCTCTGCCAGAGAAAACGGAGCCCTGGGGACCACATGTGGCTCCCTGGGGCCCGTTATCGGCCTGAACTGAAGCCCTCTGCCAGCCCCATTTTCAGCCTGGACAGCTTCCTGAAGGCCTCTGCCAGTGAAAACGAAGCCCAGGGGTGGCCATGTGGCCCCGGGCTCTGTTTTCACTGGCAGAGGGCTGCAGGAGGCCATCCAGGCCAAAAACAGGACTTAGGACGGCTGTGCCCAAGCTCCATTTTCGCTGGCAGAAGCACCATGGGCCAGTCCTTCACCATTTCCATGGCTGCCCCATGTGACAGAATTAAGCACCTTGCAGGCTGGATCCAGCCCACAGACCTTGAGTTTGATACCCCTGGTCTAGGGTTTTAAATGTTAAAACCACTACTTTAAATGGTGCCAGAAAGTAACTGCCAAGCACTGCAGATTTTTAATATGGAATCATTTTACTTTCAATAATCTGCACTTATTAGCTGCCTGGCTATTTTACACCAATTGCAGCTTTATACACTTCTCAAGGATTTTGCCCAACATGAAGTACTTTACAGTAGAAAGTTAGGAAACCTGGAAACTTTGGCCAAGCCTTAGCAACTCAGGAATGGTTAGATAAGGCACAGTGCAAATACACTCTTTGCTGTCACTGTCACACGAGAACCCAAAGCTCTTGGGAAGGAGTTGAAAAGCAAATGTTTAGTTCATTTGGCTTCATCCAGCCCATCCAGCAACTCTCAGGAAGATCAGAGCATCCTGTACAAATAGTGGCAGAGCTGGGTGTCATCAGCATACCAGTGTGATATCTCATTCCAAAGCTCAGTCTAAATGAACTCTGCCAGCAATTTTATTTTTTTCTGAAGGTTGAAAATAATCCTGAAGTTGATTTTTTTTAAAAAGTGAACCATTGAATCTGAGATGTCAAGAGAGGATCAGTCACTGTTGCTTTCAGAGGTTTATCAGGATTCCTCTCCTTATCAGTCCACGCTCCCTGTCAACTCAGAGACTACCATAACCACAGCTCACAATCTATTTTTAGGAATTATTCATCACTGGCATCTGCTAGATTATGACATGATTGTGTGTGCCAACAATATTAGTGAGTTTAAGTGTTATAAGTGTCTGGTATTTTCATTGCTTTGATTGGTGAATCCCATTTTGCATAATATGTTGGTCTAGCGCTAGGCAAAAGGTCTCATTAAAGAAGCTAGAAAAGGGGCTGTTGCAGGAGAAGTTTCCATTCCTCTCAACACAACACAACAATGGAAGGAAAACTCTCACTCCACGGATGGAAGCAAATGCTGATGACACCTTCAAACTAAACTTTTTAAATTACAATCTTTCACCATGCCCCAAAAGAAGTTATTTTTATGCAGTTCAGATTCAAGTGCAGCATTATAGATAATGACAGTTACAAACAATGGACTAAAGTTAAGTTCAGAGCACAACAACTAAAGGGGAAAACTCTGTGGGCCTTCCTTCCCTCTGGTGCCCTAGGTCTATGCTTATTTTGCTTACTGGTTGACCCAGAGCTGTCTCAGGCTGTTCTTTTCATTCTATTTTCTACAAATATACTCACATTCATGTAATTATGAAGCTTTTCTTTTGCAGTTCTCATGGACAAAAAAATATCAGATGGAAAGCAAGGGTGGTACTTCTGAGAAAAACTTTCAGGTACATTATTCCTCCAAAATTGCTCCAGTTGTCCTCCTTTTCGAAGTACAGTTTGGATAGAATTAAACTGAACTAGTGGAATCCTGATTGAACAATATAAATATAGATTTGAATGTTGACACTGCCATTTACCAAATGTCAGGATTTGCATTGTTTTCCTGCTTCGAGGCTCAGTGAACTGATACAATGGCATTATCAATGTACGCTATGGGTAGGCTTTATCTCTTTTGGTTTAATTGGACATACTCACTGGACATGAACTATTTAGGCCGTGCCATTAGAAAAGGTGGCCACAGACATATAATAAGTACGCTCCCTGGGACATACAATCCATCTAGGAGATGATGGTCTGGAATGCAGTATGGGGCACTCTCTGTCTGTTCAACCCAGAAGACCTCAGGCTTTAGAAGTGTGTCTTAGCCTTCGTAGCAACACTATCTGGAGCTGAGGGAGACTCACTGTTGGTCTATCCAAATGGACCCTCCTTTAGCCTCTAAAACATTAATTCCAGAAAGTGAAAAACAAAACAAAACAGGATAGTTTGGGGAAGAAGAAAATTATGATGAAACTTTAGAAAGAGTGAGTAAAATATAAATGCGTTTATAACCACCACCTCCCACCCCCCAAAAAAAATAATAATCAGATGCTGTTTCTTTGTACTACCATCTTTTTTTCTTCTTTCTTTCTTTTTCTATTTTCTTTGTTTTTTTCCTAATATTTTATTTGCAATAAAGATTTGTTATATTCCTAATATAACATCTAAGAGACTCAGTAGGAGATATCTACATGGATCACCTACTTCCATAGCAGATAAGTTAGGTTTAGTGGTTAAATATTCTGGCCTTGTAAAAAAAGGAATTTTAAAAATTGGAGTCATGTGATTCATTTTGGTATTGCCAGAAGTGAAAACTATAGTAGCATTATTCTCTAATAGATTCTGACATCATTTAAACACCATAAAGTTTTCTAAGGAAGCTTTGAAGGAAAACAGGTAAATTTTGTTCATATTGCTGCATATGTACACAAATATGAATGCTCTGAAATTCTTTCTTACCTTATCAGAGCAGTCATGAACGGAATACAAACCAGAGTTATTAAGAGAACCTTCATGCCTTCGGTGTATTGAAAAGGAAAATGCAGCTGATTTCTTGGAGCATTTGCTCTTTTATGTGTCAGGGTGGTTCACTGGAACACAATCAACTATTGATGAGTCAATAGCTGTTTGGCAGGACATCTGCAATATGCTGTAAAAGCACAGTTGTTTTATGTAAATATTATAACCTGATAGGGATAGGCAGACCCAAAATGGGATCTACTGGTAGATCACTGAACTATTATGATTTATCAATCGTTGTTTTATCTTATGATTTATGAGTGTATCTTATGGTTTATGATCTATGACTTATCACTTTATTTGTATGTACATTGAGAGCTTATGCACTGGACACAAATTCCTTGTGTGTCTAATTATACTTGGCCAATAAAGCTATTCTATTCTATTCTATTCTATTCTATTCTATTCTATTCTATTCT